GACTGGACTTGGAATCACAGAGCTGGAGAGTGTCTTCAAGGGTGTTTCCAAAGAGGCTTACTGAGGGAGGAAGAGCTAACCCGGATGTGAGCGGCACCGTCCCACAGGCCGGGATCCCAGACTGTGTAGAAAAGAGAAGGAGGGCTGAGTGCCAGCATTCATTTTCTCTTCCTTTCCTGACTGTGGACACAAAATGACACTCCTGCCATCATGTCCTCCCGGCCACGATGGACTTTGCCCTCAATCCCTGAGCCAACATAAATCTTCTTTAAATTGTTCTCCTCAAGCATTTAAGTAAAGAAAAGGAACCCATACAAATGAGAAGGAAGAAGTAAAAAGTACAGCTGGGTGTGGAGGCTCATAGCTGTAATTCCAGCACTGGAAGGCTGAGACCGGGCGATTGCTGTGAGTCTGAGGCCCCTCTGGACCTCTACATCATGAGGTCCCATCTCAAAAAATAAAGCGAGAAAGAGCTAAAGAGGTGTCTCAACAATTAAGCACTGGCTGCTCTTCCAGAGGACTCAAGTTCAGTTCCTAACACCCACACAGTGGCTCACAGCCATCTTGAATTCCAGTTCCAAAGGACCTGATACCCTTTTCTGGCTTCTGGGGACACCAGGCAAGTCTGTGGTACACAGACATACATACAGGCAAGACATCCATGTGCATAAAAGTAATTTGTTTTAAATTATTAAATAAAATAAGAAAGGAAGGAAGGAAAAGAAGAAAAGGAGAGAAGAAGAAGAAGAAGAAAGTTCTGTCCCTTGGGAAGCTGGGTAATGAGTAAACATGCCATGGTTTGCATGATCTTCAAATTCATATGGTAATGATTCTTAGAATGTAACTTCTGGCCAGGCATGGTGGTGCCTTTAATCCCAGCACTCTGGAGGCAGAGACAGGGGATCTCTGTGATTCAAGGCCAGCCTGGTCTACGAAGCAAACTCCAGGACAGCCAAGGCTATACAGAGAAACCCTGTCTCAGAAAAGAGAGAGAGAAAGAGAAAATGTAACCTTTGGATCATGAGGCCTCTGCACTTGGGAATGGAGTAATCCATCCATGTTTCTGTGGATTAATGGGTTATAGAGGGAGCAGCTTTTCTTTGAAAGGACTCTCCTTGGCATCTTTTCTGGGTCTCACCACGTGATGCCATGTCATGACCCAGCAAGATGGCTCTCACTGGTGCCAAGTAGATGCTGGCACCGTGCTCTTGGACTCCCATCATCCTTCAGAACTCTGAGCTAAATGAATCTCTGAGGGGAGGCTCACAAATTGCTCTGTTCTCTGGCGTTCAGTTATAGCAAATAGAAAACAAACCATTTATTCACTGAGCAATACATTTAAGATCCATGCAATTTACCATATGTAATTATACCATAAAGTCCTATGATGACTCAATATAACCTCCCTGAAGGAACCCACAACCTATGAAAGAAGCAGACTACAAAGAACTCCTTAGGAGTCAGAACCGCAATAAAGATTTTGAACGCAATACTCGATTGGCAAGAGCACTCACTTTCAGCATCCTGAACGGAATGGCTGGTAGATGTGCATTTATGGATACAAAGAGAAAGTACATGCAAAGTTGTTGTTTGAGTATTAACAAAGTCTTCCTACGAAACAAGTGAGCAGAGGATACCCGTTGCATAACCTGTACAAGATTCTGGGTTTGATTCCTGGTTCTGCTAATAAAAGAAAGAAAGAAAAGGAGAAGGAAGAAAAAAATGATGGGAGAGATTTCTTAAGTCTGAAACATTTAGGGTTCGGGCCCCTATGCTGCAGGCTTCCCCCTTGAGACCACTGTACAGAGCCCCAGTCGTTGGGGGTGGGGGTTGGAGTCAGGGATGGGGGCGGGTTCAACACTCTTGACCTTTGATGGAATTGCAAAGGGTCCAGATCAAGTCTAAATCTTAGCTATCCAGGGTCAGCCCCACCTCAAAGGAAAGGCTGAGAGCAATCCCACAGCAAGCCAGCAGGTAAGAATTCATTATTAGCAACAAAGTAACCACACTCGGAGATTAGGAGCCAGGTTTGTATCTCAAGGCAGGCGGGCTTCAAATTCTTGTTCTTTCCTGTCCAGCAAAACCAGCAACCCGAGCTGGGCATGATGATACACGCCTGTAATTTCACAGTTCCAGAAGCTGAGGCAGGAAGATTGATGGCTTCAGGTTGCAGGTCAGCCTGGGTTACACACCAAGACCCTGCCTCCAAAACACAAACAAAACCCAAATATGGACCCGGAGTGACTGACCTGCTGTGCTGGGTGGCAGCAAAGCCTGCCTTTAACCTCATCAGAGAGACCGGAGGACAACAGCTTTCCCACACCATCCAATTAATGCTCCCCTCCTTTCCTTCACCCTCCCACCGGGTCGGGTCTGAGAGCCGTGGCCTAGGTGCTAGACACAGGGAAGGAATGCCTTCAGAGAGGGTTAACTATTTGAGATGCCCGAGGGGAGGCTTTTGCAGGGGAGAGCAGAAGACAAACCACACAAAAGCACCCACAGACAGCAAGGAAGGATGCAAACAGGAGAGGAATGGGAAGAAGTTGAGCCAGATGCTCAGGACGTCTTTTTTTTCCTCTGGATAAACAGGTCTCTTCCCAACGCAGTTTCTCTGAGGCCCTGACACTGAAATCCTCAGAGGTCACAGGCCTGAGGCAAGTAAGTGACCTGCTTTGTTTACACAGGAAAAGGTCAAAGATCAGGAATGTTAGGGCTAGCTAGGGAAATGCTTCAGTCAGTAAAGCGCTGTGCAGGCATAAGGAACAGAGTTTGGATCCCCAGCACTCACACAAAAGCTGGGCACAGTTGCTCAGCCATCTGTAACCTCTCAGTGCTAGGGAGAGGGAGAGTGAAAAGGAAAGATCCCTAGAAGTCATTGGCTAGCCAGCCTCGCCAACTCAGTGAGCTCCAGGCTCAGTCAAAGACCCTCGCTCCAAACAGTAAGGTAGAGACAGATAAAGGAGAACATCGGACACTGAGCATTTGCTTTCCCCTGCACTTAAAACACAGGTGCACGGACACACGTGCACCTCTACACACACACACACACACACACACACACACACACACACACACACACACGAACCACACACACAAATCAAAGCACTATTATGTAATGCTGGATCTGCTTTAGTATCAAAAACTATATGTACTTTGGGGGAAAACTTCTCTCTTCAGAGTCCTCACAGCTTGCAGGGATACTCAGGAGTTCAAAGGTGAGACCAGTCAACTAGGGATCGGGTAAGGTCAAGTTAGCCTAGAGAGACAATAGAGAGGAGAGAGACTCGGGAGAACCTCCCTTAAAAAGTGCCCCCCCCCCCCCAGCCAGGCGGTGGTGGCGCACGCCTTTAATCCCAGCACTCGGGAGGCAGAGCCAGGCGGATCTCTGTGAGTTCGAGGCCAGCCTGGGCTACCAAGTGAGTTCCAGGAGAGGCGCAAAGCTACACAGAGAAACCCTGTCTCGAAAAACCAAAAAAAAAAAAAAAAAAAAGTGCCCCCCACCCCTCTAGTGGGCCCATTTCACTACCCAGCCGTGATATGTAGGTCTCCTCAGGAAATGAGGCAGAGAGATATTAAAGTGCTTTATAGGGGCTGGGCATGGACTTCAGTGGTTGAGTGCCTATTCAGCATGCATCTCACACACACACACACACACACACACACACACACACACACACACATACACACACACACACACACACACACACATACACACACACATTACTGCCTGCTTCCTAGTTTTCAGAAGGTGGTAATCTGAGAGTTCACACACACACACACACACACACACACACACACACACACTCACACATTACTACTTGCTTCCTAGTTTTCAGAAGGTGGTAATCTGAGAGTTCCGGTCAAAAAGGCATCTTCCAACTTATCTGTCCAACTTCTTTTCAGAAATATCTTTTTATTGGAGGCAGGGAATTCGAGACAAGGCTTCTTTGTGTAGTAGCCCTGGCTGTCCTGGAACTCCCTCTGTAGACCAGGCTGGCCTGGAACTCTGAGATCTATCTGCCTGCCTCTGCCTTAAAGGCACGCACCACCCCTTGCCGTCTTAGTAGTGTCTTTAAACCTAGTTTGCAGAGGTATATCCCTCTCTCGACTGTGTTTCCACTTCTCCTGTCCAAGCCCACAGCCGGCATAGTATGAACAGCAGGCTTAATAGCCTGCCAGACCGTATGGCAGAGCATGATCAGCCATGTGCAGGTCTTCCCCCTACTGGATGCAGAAGACACCACCACTCAACCTTATTGCACAGACAGCTCCCCCAACCTTGGCTTTTCCCACGGTGGCACTCTCCCGCAGTCCCTTCAGTGCCTGACCACATTAGCTTTATTCAACCAACCCTCTCCTGCCAAACCCCTTCCCAGCCCTTGCATCAGACTCAGAAGTAAGTGGCAATGATTGAAAACAGAGGGAAGAAACCAGGTGGTGGTGGTGGTGGTGCAAGCCTTTAATCCCAGCACTCGGGAGGCAGAGGCAGGTGGATCTCTGTGAGTTCGAGGCCAGCCTGGGCTACAGAGAGAGTTCCAGGATAGTCAGGGCTACACAGAGAAACCCTGTCTTGAAAAAGAAAAAAGAAAAGAAAAGAAAACAGAGAGAAGGAACTGCTATACCAGTTCCCTGAGGACCCCTACACCGTCCCAAGCTTTTCACCGAAGCAGGTACAGCTGAGAGTGTCCTGGCCGCACTCAACCCTGTTCCTCGGGTATGCGGTTAAAAGCCTACACTCCTGGCTCTGTGTGCCACACCGGACGCATACAGAATCCTGATCTAGAATTTGAACTCTGTCTAGGACTACTGCCGCTACCAGCAAGCAGCCCCAGACCCCAGCCAGGCCCGCTATTCCCTCTGCCTAAGTGGTAGGGAGGTGGGAGTGAGGGCCACCCAGAATGGGGTCAGTCCCTGCCAAACTCTGCAGAACTCCCAAGTCCCCTCCGCCTCCTCGGGACTGCCCAGCCCCCTCTCTCTTTTCGGGGAGCTGCTCGGGGTACCTGAGAGCGCGGACACCGTGCAACTTTGAGTTCTGCCAAGGCCGAGAGAGCAGCGTCCGGGGTCCCTGCGCCCCCAGGCTCGCGGTACACAGCCTCCCGAGGCGCAGCATCCCGAGGTAGACAGCCATGTCTCGCTTCCGCCGCAGGTCCCGGGCCGGAGTAAACTTTGAAAGTGAGCAAGGCGGGGGCTAAAGAAGAAGAAGCCGGCGGGGAGGCGGGAGGGTCGCTCTGCCTATGGGGTGAGGAGGACTGGGTCCTGGCGGGGCGGGGCGGGGCGGGGCGAGGAGAGGCCGGGAAGTGGCCACCTTCGCGTGGGAACTGCAGCCCTCCAAGCCCGCCCTCGAAGGACCACCTTTGTTTTTCTTTGTTTTTGTTTTCGGGGATCCCAAGAGCCGCTCTGCAGCACAATACAGGGCCTTCCTGCAACCATCACCCGGCTAAGATTGGAGGGCCGAGGAGTTTCATAAACGGGAAACCAATCAGGGCTCTATAATGGGCCAGATAGCAGCTTCAAGGCTCGTCCGTCCGGGTGCCCGGTAGACTGTGGGTCACGTGGGAACTTGTCCCCGGTAGTGAGCTACAGGCCAAAGGAACTCCGCCCCGAGCGCCCCTGAGTGCTGCCAGCTGGAACAGAGGGCCTCTGGGAAGAGGAAAGGCCTTGAGAACCAACCAGTGTGATGGGTGAGCCCCTCTGTACTCTAGGACCGAGGATCTTGTGCGGTCCAAGGCCAGGAGTCAGCTTTAGTTCGACCCCGCATCTCTCGTGGCATCCTTCCTTCTTTATCCCGTGTCATTCCAAGAAGAGTATCCGGTAGACAAGATGTGGTGGCATCAGGGACTGGAGTCTGTTGTATCCTATCCTCCTTTCTGCCGTAGCTTGGGTCCTGAAACATAATTTCCTCAACTGCTCCCCTAGGCTCTAAAGGACCGAGACTTTGTGAGAGACTCAATACTCTAGCTGTGCCCTCTGGAATATATTCTAACATGTAACCCAAGAAGGATGGGCGACAAGACCTCGAAGAGGTGACTGCTTATTTCTGGGTCTGAGCACTGGAACTCCTACAGCTTCTAGTCCTACGTTGTCCTGAACTATCTTTCCTCCAGGGGAAGAAGAGAAGTCAGGTCCTGGCAGGGTGGCTTCCCCTCTCCTGACTTGGAAATGAAGAAAGTCGGGCAGGGAGGAACAGTTGGCTGAGGGCGGAGGTTGTCTTAGTGAACCTTTGCCTTTTACTGGGAATCCTGGTTCAACTGTGGTCATGAGTAATCCAGCTGCTCCCTCTTTGATCTCCAGAGTGACCACAGATCTCTCTGGCATCTTTCTGAGGGAATCTGTGTTCCATTGGAGAACCAGTCAGGACGGGAGACTTTGAAGAGCTGAGCTTGCTAGGGCACACCCTCCAAATTAAGTTTATACAGCAACTTCTGAAGGGCAGGCTCAGAGAATGAGGGGCTGACAGGTATCCCCAGTTCAGGATCCAAGCCCTACCTGGAAGCTTGGTGGATAACCCTGGGCCAGTCATTGACCCCTCCTGGATAAATAATTGCCCCAGCACAGTGGAGGTACATTCTGGTCCCCAGGACCCTTTCACATCCTGACTAGTCTCTGAATGAAGCTTGTGGGGATGGGGGTGGGGGGTGGGCAGGTGTGGGGGCGGGTGTGTGTGTGTGTGGTGGTGGTGGTGGTAAGGAAATGAGTTCTCTGTTATTCTGCTTGTACTGTGAGCTAGCCTTGGGAAGCCTTTATTCCCTTCCCCTGGCTAATATCCCTTCCTTCTCTGCTTCAAAAATGGACTTACAGACAACCGCCTGTGACCCCAGCCAGGGAGATAGAGGCAGAGGATCAGGAACTCAAGGTCATCTTCAACTACACAGAAGGGGTTCTGAGGCCAGCCTGAGGCAAAAAAAAAAAAAAAAAAGGGAGGAGTGCTAATAATGTCAACATCAAAATAGCATTTTTTTTTTTTGAGTCAGGGTCTCCTATAGCTCAGGCTGACCTCATTCGGTATATATCCTAGGATGAACTTGAACTTTGAATATGCCTCTATTTATCTCCTTGGATTACAGACATGCACCACTACAGCCAAGAACAGAATACAATGCTTGCTACTAGCCTTGGCAATTATCCTAGTTGAAATGGTAAAGGAGAGAAGGAGGGAGGCGGAGGCCAATATTCTCACATTATAGATTGTGTTCTGCAGGCCTGATGGTGTAGATATGTAATACGGGCTACTCTAGGGAGACTGAGGCAGGAAGATTGAAAGGTCAAGTCCTGTCTAGGCAATTTAGATAGATCCTGTCTCAAATAAAAAGTAATGTGGGCATTGTGATGCACATCTTTAGTTCCAGCACTCCATGGACGGTGGATCTATGAGTTCAAGACTAGCATGGTCTACACAGAAAAATCATGTCTTGAAAAAGACAAAAAGTAAAAATAATGAAGTTTTTGTCTTGTTGAAAACCCCATGTTTGTTCCTCAGCATCACAATACACACATACAGCAACAATAATGATCATTTAAAAAACAACAACAGCAATAACAATAACAAAAAGTAAAATATAATAAACTAAGGTCAGCTACACATACAGGCAGAATCTGCTTCCAGTTCCAGGCGAACCTGGAGTACATAAAGCTGGGTGTGGTGGCACCTATCTTTAATCTCACCATCAAGAAGCAGAGGCAGACAGATCTCTGTGAGTTCCAGGCCAACCTGGTCTACACAGTGAGTCTCAAGCTAGCCAGGGCTACACAATGAGACCCTGTCTCTAAAGAAATAATGAATAAATAAATGTGTTGAGAGATCCTGTCTGTGGGTGATGGCGCATAAAGGAAAGGAATATGTTCTGCTTTGTTCTGTTTTTTGTTTGTTTTGTTTTGTTTTTAAGTGAAATTATTATCCGCAGGTGTTACAAGAGGCCTCAGCCTTCTGAGTAAATAGCCACCACCTTCATCAGATAGGCAGATCTGTTTACAGAAGACTATTCCCAGCAGGACTGTTATTGTTGGACTTTCCCTAAGAGAAGGAATGAGTGGAGAGGGTCATAAGATCCTCCCTTAGATTCCAGCCACTCCTCTCTACCACTTATATGGAATTTTGTCCCAAATGCAGGCATGCGCCTCGGGTGCTAGACAGTATAGAAGGGGAAGGGGGGGAGGCTAACTGGTGGGAACTCTGTCCAAGCTGAGTGGAGACTTTGTAGGCTGGTGACTCTGGAGGTCATTCATGCTTCCCAAAGCAATCCTTCACCCATGCCTGTAAGACAGCTCAATAAACTTATCAGCACTCCAGGACAAGCTTAGGAGGACTTCTTGAATTTACCATTGGAACCTTAAAAGGAGAGGGTAGGCATTTATACTTCCCTAGGAACAAACCCATATGTAACAACAACAACAAAAAAAAAAAAAAAACCCCACTAAGAAATAGAATAAAAAATTTTAGCCGGACGGTGGTGGCGCACACCTTTAATCCCAGCACTCGGGAGGCAGAGCCAGGTGGATCTCTGTGAGTTCAAGGCCAGCCTGGTCTACAGAGCGAAATCCAGGAAAGGCGCAAAGCTACACAGAGAAACCATGTCTCGAAAAACAAAAAAAACAAAAACAAACAAAAAATTTTAAATGCTTAGAAGTAAACAGAGAAGGTAAAACTAAGATGGTTAAAGTAGTTCAAATGGGCTGGGCTGGGCTTGGCGGCCCATGCCTTTAATCCCAGCACTGGAAAAGCGGAGGCAGGCAGATCTCTGTGAGTTTGAGGCCAGCCTGGTCTACATAACAAGGTTCAGGCCAGTCAGGGCTACATAGTAAGACCCTGCCTCAAATAAAATTTCTAACGAGGTCAAAAAGATAGTTCTGCAGATGAAAAAAAAGCACGTCCAGTGCAAGCCTGACCACTCGAGTTAGACAGAATAAGATGCAGTGACACACACCAGTGACCACAGCACTGCTATGTCAAGACAGGAGGTGGAGGCAGGAGATTCTCCCTGAAGCTCAGCCAGCTGGCCTGGAGTACGGATGGTAATGCCAGAACAAGACCCTACCTCAACAAAGTGGGAAGTGTGGACCGACTCCTGAGGAGGATGCCAGAGGCCATCCAGTCAGCCATGGAATAAAAAGGAAAGAAAGATATATAGAATAAAGACAGTTAAAAAGCCCAGAGACAAAACACAGTTAAAGAGAAACAGGATAATTTAAATTAGAAAAGCTGGCTAGAAACAAGCCAAGCTAAGGCCGGGCATTCATAAGTAAGAATAAGTCTTTTTAACTCTCAAAGAGTTAAAAAACAAACAAAAAAACAACTACAGGCCACTGTGGCTCTGAGTTGGTGTGCCTCATTCCTGCTCCCTGAATTGAGGCACTGGTATCGTCTTTGCCGTTGTGCCCAACCAAGAAGCTGCTGCTGGCTGGTATTGATAACTGCTACACATCATCTTGGGCACTTTCATCAAGACCACCTTTGATGCCATCTCCAAGACTGACAGCTATCTGACCCCTGACCTCTAGAAAGAGGCCCTGTTCACCAAGTCTCCATATCCAGAACTCACCAACCATGGTGTGGAAACTCACACTAGCGTGTAGAGGACCCAGGCTCCAGCTGTGACCACCATGTAGGATATTTATTTATTTGTTTGTTTGTTTGTTTATTGGTTTTTCAAGACAAGGTTTCTCTGTATAGCTCAGGCTGTCCTGGAACTTGCTATGTAGACCAGGCTGTCCTCAAACTCACAGAGATCTCCCTGCCTCTGCTTCCCAAGTGCTGGAATTAAAGGCATTCACCACCACCGCTTAGCCCACATGGAATTTTTTTTTTTCTCTCATTCAATACATCCCAACTCCAGCCTCCCCTCCCTCCCCTATCCCCCAGATCCACCTCTCTTCTATCTCCTTTCAGAAAAGCTCAGGCCTCCTAGGAATATCAACTAAACACAGCTTAACAAGTTGCAATAAGACTTAGGCACAAACCCTCTTATCAAGGCTGAACAAGTCACCCAGTAGGAGGAAAAGGCTCCCAAGAGCAGACAAAAGAGTCAGAGACACCCCTGCTCCCACTGTTAGGAGCTCAGAAAACCCCAGCTAGACAACCACAACATATATGCAGAGGACCTAGTGCAGACTCATGCAAACCCCATGATTGCTGCTTCAGTCTCTGTGAGCAGGGCCCTGCTTAGTTGATTCTACGGGCTGTGTTCTCCTAGTGTTCCTGACCCCTCTGGCTCCTGCAATCCTTTCTCCCCCTCTTCTGTGGGGTTTCCCAAGTTCTTCCTAATGTTGGGCTGTGGGTCTCTGCATCTGCTCCCATCAGCTGCTGGAGGAAGCCTCTCTGATGATAATTAGGCTAGGCACCGATCTATGAGTATAGCAGAATATTGTTAGGAATCATTTCATTGCCTTTTTTTTTTTTTTTTTGGTTTTCCCCTAGGTCTCTGGTCCATCCAGCTTCCTGCCACTCCCATAAGCTCTGAACCACCATTGTCCCAGCACATCTTGCAGGCAGGACAGGTTATAGAGCAAAGGTTATGTGGCTGAGATGTTGTCCCAGTTCTACCACTGGAAGCTTTGCCTGGTTACAGAAGATGGCCAGTTCAGGATCTGTGTATCCTTCATTACTAGGAGTCCTCGCTAGGGTCACTCTCAGAGGTTCCAGGAAGTTTCTACTGTACTAGGTTTCCACACTATCCCTTAAATGCCTCCCAATTCCAGTCGCCTCTCCCTGTACTCTCTCCCTGTCCTTCTTCCTCCACCGGATCCCTCCCATCCCTATTTCCCCTTCCCAGGGAGATCCATCCTTGTTACTTCGCCTCTTTGGGTCTGTGGATTGAAGCATGATTTTTCCTTTATTTAACAGCTACTATCCATTTAAACCCACACCAGAGTCTTTTTGCAGAGAACCCAAGCTCCAGCTGTGGTTACCACCATAGGATTTAAAAAAAAAAAGTTGTTTTTTTTTTTTTTTTGAGACAGAGTTTCTCTATGTGGCCCTGGCTGTCCTGGAACTGGCTTCTTTCGACTAGACTGGCCTCAAATTCACAAAGATCCACCTGCCTCTGTCTCCTGGGTGCTGCAATTAAAGGCATGCTCCACCACCACCTGGCCCACACAAGATTTTTATATGAGAAAAAGAAAATAGAGTGACTAAGCCCTGTTTTTAAAAAGAACCTGGAACTGTAAAGCCTTAGAACCCGTTTATGCAAAAGTTTCACTTTCACCTCAAGGGGAGTAAAAGGGAGTTTCTTCTGGGCCAAATATGAATAACTGTAGTCTGGGAACATGGCTTCAGGTTGCTTGGAACAGCATTTTGCTGACAGTGGTGGTGCATGCCTTTTGAGGCAGAGGCAGGTGGATCTCTGTGAGTTCAAGGCCAGCCTGGGCTACATATCAAGCTACATAATATGATCTCAAAGACAAACCAGAATAACAAGTTACAGAACAGAAAAAGGTCCTAAGTCAAGGTGTTTGCCACAGATGTTGGCGGGGACAGCAGAATGGTGGGTTCCAGCACAGTGAGGACCCTGAAGAAAAGAAAATCATAAATGAAGGAATTGCCACATACAGGTGAGCAGGTTACAGCACAGT